CAATTGGTTGCGGCAATAAAAACAGTGAGACCCATTTGTCAGGGTCTTTGTGCTGATGAAGTCTATTATATTAGCTAGTGTGGTCCAGAGGCAGAGTGTTAATAGTGTACTGATTTTTTGCGGTCCTTGATGAGTAGTAGAAAGTAAGTAAGCATATATAATTCCAAAAAAAAAAAAAGTAAGCATACAGTTATGAGTTTTGACCATTTCAGTTATATATATGTGGTATTTGAAAATTAATTAGAGGATTGTGATAATCGCTTCTAATTTCGCATTTTGTGACAAATTTCTTGTTTTATATTTATGGAACCTCTTGTTAAAATTATTTAGATTTGTTAGATAGTTCTCATCGAGAATTGTTTTATAGTTTCATGGTTTTGGAGTTGTCTATTGTCACAAGGTAATGTATAGTATGTATAGTTTCAGGTATCATGCATGTTAACTATATCATGCATTGTGCTTCTTGTTATGGGCTAAATTTAACCTAGCTAGCTTGTAATTTTGTCCAACTAACCACATCTACCTAGATAACTTAGCTCGAAAAGATCAATAGAATCTATTAGCGCCAATTCAAACTCGATTTTCTATATAAAAAGAATTATAAGGGGAAGCAATTTTAAAGATTGATGAATTGGGAATATGTTATCAACAAAACACTAATGGGGAATTGATCGTGTTTCATTGAACTCCTTAATCTGCCTGTTGGTGCAGAAGGAAATGGTGAATAGATTTAGCATCTAGCCGTGGGTAATTAACAAGAAGTAAGTCAGAGAAAAAAAAAAAAAAAAAAAAAGAAAAGAAAAAGGAATAAAAGAAAGATCTCATTCACCGGCAGGGGAATGTATCATTTCTTTTGCATGATACTATGTGGTACGTATCAAAATGTCGTAATACCGTAACTATTAATATGTTACATCTTCTCCTATTGTTACCAAAAAGTAAATAAAAAGAAAAAGAAATTTCGAAATGATTAACCATCAAAGATAAAAATAAAGAAACACGTTATACCGAGGATGATCGATTTAACAAACATCACTAATCGCATTCCATCCCATTTTGTACCCGAAAATGACATTTAAAGTATGGTGCTCAAGCTCAATTATCTAAGTTTGATTTAATCCTACCTCAGAGTAGTATAGTTTATTTTCTTTCTTTCTCCGTCCTAAACTAAAACTCATAGCTTAATAATTTAAAAAATCGTATAACTTTTTGGAATGACGAAGCGTGGAATTGTTCCCTGGTTGGATGTGGAACTCCGATAAGGTTTAACGTGCGAAACAGAGCCTCATGAGTCTACCGAGGGTAGACACTCCGATACTTAAGTCAGTAAAAAGTGTTACGAGAGTGTATAAGTTGTAAATTGGTACTAGAGATAGCGCATCTCCGTTGTAGTGAGATCAACTCTATTAATAGGCATGGACTTACCTAGAGGATGTCCGAATCCTACTAGGTCTCGTGTTGCTCAAACCGCCCTAACAGAGCCGGTTGGACTTATAATTGTCTGATGGACCGGTCTGATAATCTCAGGTGGATATGGACTCGTCAAGTGCCCATAGCAAGCGTTAGTTATATGAAATAAGCAACGCTTGGTATAAAAAAAAAATTACCTAGACTCGCCCCAAAGTGGATTTGGACAATCTCGAATCTAAGGCCCACAATCGAGGTCAGGTGGAATAGGTTTCGCGGGCGAAACCAAATCCGGGAAGATGACACGATTGGTATCCCTCCTAAAATGGAGCGGACATGTTCCATTACTCCGCATGCTTCCCAAACGACGGCTTTTCATTATTAGTGCTCCCTTGAAAATAGCCAAACCGTCAAATCGTGGGAGCATCTGTCCCTTTTTAAATAGCTGAGGCGAGGAAGCCCAGACCAACTCCTCCAACTTCAAACTTAAAGCAGAAAATTCTCTCCCAAGTTCTTTTCCGACGCTGCCACAGAAGCCCTGCTATTTTCCTAGAAAGAGCCATCTGGAGGATACTATTTCTGAGCCGGCGACGATTCCGGTTGCCCTGGTACCAAGGCATGTGTGGAATTTCACCCTAGGTGGCTACAAGTCCAAAGGAGAGTGGAAACAACTTCCGGTAAGCTCTCATTCCATAGAATCTTACTGCTAATCCATTTTCATTGTCGAATTCACCGTATCTAGGCATAGATTTGATTTACTGTTGTCTTTTTGTTTCCAGTAGATATGGCTAGAAATCCAGATCTGAAAACTGTTGATGATTTTGCTTCAACGATTAATTCTAATGATAGAGTTAATGCAGTCAGAACATGGGCGTGTATCGTGACTCTACCCCTTGTAACACTTTGCTGACGAAGTAAACAGGGATCTCCTTGCCGTCTTTGGTTTGGACTAGGATGGCTGATATGGGTTTTTCTCGAGTAGCAAGGTACACATGTAGGGTTTCCCCTGGTTCAGGTTTGAATAATATTGGTAGCTTTGTAAGATGCTCTTTTAGCTCCTGAAAGGCTTTTTGGCATTCCTCGTTCCACTCAAAGTTTCTGCCTTTGCAAAGCGTGTGAAAGAATGGAAGGCTTGTTTCTGCGGCTCGAGAGAGGAACCTATTTAAGGCAGCTAAGGATCCTGTGAGTTTCTGAACTTCTTTGACATTCTTCGGGGCTTCCATGGCTAGGATAGCCTCGATTTTCCCGGGATCGACACTGATTCCATCTTTGGAGACGTGTTATCCTAGAAACTTACCCGATCCCACGTAGAAGGCGCATTCCTTTGGGTTGAGCTTCATATTAATCTTGCGGAGAATTGAGTAGATCTCGCGGATATCCTTGACTACTTGCTCATCTTTGTTACTCTTGATCACCATATCATCCATATATATCTCGATATTTCGACCAATCTGGTCATGGAATGCTTGGTTGATGATGCACTGATAGGTTGCACCTGCGTTTTTCAAGCAAAAAAGGCATCTTGTCGTAGCAATATACCCCGATCTCGGTAATATAGGCTATCTTTTCTGCATCTTCTCGTGCCATGCATATTTGGTGGTACCTTTATAGGCATCGAGGAAGCTGAGGGTTCTATACCCTGTGATACTCTCAACCATCTGATCTATGACTGGTAAGGGATAACAATTCTTGGGGCAGTTTATTGAGATTCGTGTAATATTGGCACATGCGCCAAGAGTTATCAGGTTTCCGCATTAGGATTGGATTAGCTAACCAAGTTGGCCAGAGAACTTCACGGAGGATGTTACCGCGGACCAGATTTAATGTTTCTTCATTGATGACATCGTTGCAATCTCGAGCGAATATTCTTTTCTTTTGTTGCATAGGTTTGACATTGGGATCGACGTTCAGCTTATGTTCAATAACGTCTCATGGTACTCCTGTCATGTCTGTAGGTGACCAAGCGAATATATCGCCGAACTCGCGTAGCAAGGCAATTACCTCAGTCAGCAACGTTCCTTGAAGAGATATCCCTATCTGGATAGTCTTGGAGGTATCCTTCTCGTTAAGAACCAGCTCTTGGGTTTTGCTGCTAAGTGGTGGTAGGTTACCAGCGTTGTGATCTTCCGACTGTGGGTGTGTCATTGTCTATTCGATCGAGTAGCATCCCGACATGGTAGTACTTGTGTTAGACTTCATGGTCTTCTTCCCATTCTTGACTGCTGTGAGTAAACATTTTCGGGAGCTGTGTTGGCATCCTTGCACAACTCCAACTCTGTATTCTGTTGGAAATTTCATCACAAAGTGATAAGGAGACCAAATTGCTCGAGCTTGACACATATATTATAATCCTAGAATCACATTGAACGGTGAGGGTGCATCTATTAGAGCAAAATCCAGGGTTAGTGTAACTATACTGGGATACAACCCTACCGTGATAGAGAGTCTTACGATTCATGTTTGAATAATGTTATGACCTGAGAAGCCCATCAATGGTAATGTTACTGGGCGGATATCGGGGTTTTTGGATGTTCATCTCTTTGAAGCAATCGCTATAAATGATGACGACTGCACTACCGTTATCCACATAAACCCGACTTACATGTACGTTTCCGATTATTGCCTCGATAACCATAGCGTCACTGTGAGGACAAATATCAGGGACCACGTCGCTATCAGTGAAGACGATGGCTTCCGTCCCTTTAAACCTCTTGTGGCTAGGTTCTTGTGGAGGAGTTTTTGTGACAGTTCGTATTGAATTTTTCATAGCTGTGGTCGATAAAACCTCGAGAGAGACTCCATAAATGGCTCCCACCTGATAACTGATTTTCTTGGTAGGATCTACTGGAGGAACATGCTGAATTGGTTGTGGTGCTCCTTCCATAGCTTGTTGGGAAGGCTGCTGTGGATTGTTCCTTGGTTGCCAATTGTTTCTTTGATTTTCTCCTCAAGGACCTAGAAAATTTTGTCTCGAAAATTTCGGGACCCGACAGGCTTACTGTTTCTTTGCCGAGAAGATCCTTGCACGTATTGCTGAAATTTCTCAGACTTAACTCCATTCTCGATCTCCCTCTTTAGTTCTCAACACTCCTCGGGGTCATGGCCATGGTCTTTTTGGTGTTTGTAGTACTGTTCCATCGACCTGTTTGGATTAGGAGCCAAGGGTTTTGGGGTTGGCAGTTCATCCTTGTGGATATGAAGGACTTCATGACGATGTTTAGTTAGGGGGGTCAACTACCTATCGAGCTTAGGCAACGATATCCTATTTTTCATGGTAACTTTGGGCTTGTTCCTTGTCCCGATTGCTGTAAAAGATTCCTGTGATAGTTTGAGTGTGTGATCTCGTTGAATATGATTCTCGACAATAGCCCACATCTCGTTAAATAAAATTTTCAGAGATATCATAAACAAAGAGAGCCAATCCCCTCACCCCCAGTAGAAAGCTGAACTCAAAACTGAAAAAATAAAGCTGATGGGAAAAAAAAATTGCCATTCGAATTTATCAATTAATCTAATAATTACTTTGCTTTACGCCGGGGGGCTCCTAAGACATTAAAAACCCATAGATTTTCATTCAATCGCCGCAGCGTGTAGTCATTTTCGTTGGTCCATGTGCTTTTCATTTCTTTACGAAAACAAAAAACAAAAGAACAAAGCCCTGAATTCATTTAACAATTTCTATAAATTGTAACCATCAGCAATTGCAGAGTGTATATACTACCTTGTACTGAAGTTGTGAACAAATGGGCTCCAACTCAAAGTTTCTCTTTTACACGGTTCTGTTGATAACCTCACACCTGGTGTCTTCAAGGAATTTGCCTGATTCTTCCACTTCCGACATTGACAAATGTAAGAAATACTTTTTTTTCCTTTTTTTTTTGGTTTAATATTTAAAGTTATATGCAAGATTAACTACCTTTTTTAAATTTCTGTGCTAATTAATAAATAAAAACACACTAACATATCATATATGCAATATTCGAGAGCTGCAAGGGTTTAGTGACACTGTATAAGTGACAATTGTAATCACGACTAGCCTCTTGTAAAATATTTTAACAGTATTATCGCATTTCATGATTTTTTTAATGGAGTTTGGGAAATATATTAATCTTTTCAAGTGTAACTAACCAAATGATTTATGCCTATTATTATTGTTATTTTTTTAAAAACGTATTATGATATGCAGCAAAGAGGAAACATGTTCATCATGACGTAAAGAATATGGTGGCGGATGCCAAGTACGGCGGTTTCGGAGGATATTCCGGAGGCGGGGACTACGGAGGAGACCCCGGCGGTGGCGGATATCCTGGAGGAGGAGAATATGGAGACGACCCTGGTGGGGGATACCATGGTGGTGGAAATCCCGGAGGAGGAGGAGAATATGGATATGAGCCCGGTAATGGGTATCCCGGAAGAGGAGATCAAGGCGGCGGATCCAGAGGATATGGAGGAAACCCTAGCAATGGTGGAGGAGGATCCTCCGGAGGACAGTACGGATGGTATCCTCCAGGTGGAAGAAATGGATGGTATCCGGGTTGGGGTTGGAATGGAGGACGTGGTGGCGGCAGCGGCGGCAATGGTAATGGCAGTGGCGGTAACGGCAATGGCGGCGGTTACGGAGGATATTGCCGGTATGGTTGTTGTGGCCGGAGTTATTATTACGGCCGGGGATGTAGGTGTTGTTCACGTTTTGGCCAGGCTGTGAATGCAGAGCTTCATAACTAAATTAATTAATAAAAAAGCCAGCTTTTGATGAGATCGATTGCATGGAAATGAAGAACATCGTACAACTTCACCAACCTTATTAATTATTGCAGTCATATCATGCAATATATGCATGCAGTAGAATTATTGTATTTTTATTGCTGAAATATATATATACACGTGTACTAAATAAATTGGACTTTATTTTGCACTACCCCCTTACCTTTATGTTTCTTTGTGGCAGATATTTCATTCAAACATTTCTTTTTGGTTGTTTGGCTATGTCTCTAGATATGATACTCGGGACAATACAAGTTACATTTCAATTTTGAATCAAAAGAGAAATTTTAAGAAATAGTAGATTTATTCTTTCTAGAAATAAGTTGGATTTGACTTTAATAAGATACTTCGCATTCATGCCTATAGATTAGATCAAAATGAATTCTGGAATGAAGAACTCAATTCCAGGAATGAATCGAAGAAAAATTTCGTGTGCAAAGTTGAGACTATCTTGAACCCCGAACCACCATGGCCCTTTTTTTTTCATTATTAGTTTTTATTCTATTTTTTCTAAATATCTTGTTATATATTATAAATTTATTCCCTATTACTTTTTTTTCTCTCATCTAAAAAAATATTTATAATCTTTAAACGAGCATAACTCTCAATCCGTAAAGAATTTGTGAACGAATTACATATGAAATTTATAGTACTCGTCGAGATCTATCCAACAAGATCCATTGAATATTTTTTTCGAACTTAAAAAATGACTACATTTTGATAGGCAGAAATGAAAGAAATTTGTATGTTATTTGGAATGATATCTTGTTTAAAAAGATGGATAATCAACTATTTTATATTGATATTCTTATAAAATTTATATATCTCATTCTTTAACCAATTAGAAAATAAATTATATATGAAATTTGTAGACCTCAACGAGATTTATCCAATATGATCAATAATGAAAATTAATTTTGGAAAAATAAAAAAATTTTCTGGACAGAAATGAAGGAAGTATTTGTGTTGGATAGTCAGTACAAAGATGTCAGATAAGCTATAGAAAACCAATGGATAGGCGGCGGCTTAATTCAAATTCACTCTCACATTTTTTGCTGATGGAAATAGGTACATTCGGATGCTTTGAACACTACAAAACTAATGGATAACCGCCGTGATTTTGGACAAGCTATGAAAATGATTGGATAAGTAATACAAGTTGGATAATCAGTGTAAAAAAATACGGACAAGGATATCCAAAAAAAATATAAAAGAAAAAAAATTGGAGAAGCAGTGCAAACCGGTCGGTTGAATAATCGATATGAAAGCATTGGACTACTATTTTTCAAAAAAAAATAATAATAAAAGAAAATGATTGGATAAACAGTACAAACCTTATTTGGATAAATGGTGAAAATGATTGGATAACCCATACAAAACGGTTGGATAGCCAGTACAAAAAAACTAGACAAGGACTTTCGCAAAATGTAGAGGAAAAATGGTTGGAGAATTCGTACCAAACAATTGGATATCCATCAGTTAATTACTGATTATCCGAAAGTTTTATACTGCTTATCTATATATTTTAACTGCCTATCCAGTCAATAGTTATTCCTTATCCACCATAATAGTGGACTTCAAATCTTTAACCAATTATGTTGAATAACCAGTACCAATTAATTGGATAATCAGTAGAAAAAAAAACTATTGGACAAGCAGTACAAATTCTATTTTGGATAAGCAGAAAAGTGATTGGATAGCCAACACAAAACGGTTGGATAGTCAGCACGAACAAACTGGACAAGGATAACCAATATAAAATGGTTGGATAGTCAATACAAAAAAATGGACGCACAAAAGTAAAATGAAAAGAACGGCTGGAGAAGAGGGAAAATAACTGGATAAGCAGTACCATAAGTTGGATAACCATTATTAACACGTTGGACAACCACTTTTTACAAAATAAATAATTGGATAAACAGTACAAATATAATGGATAACTGGTAGAAAGACGCTGGATAAGTACCAAAAAAAAACAAATGGGTAAGCGTCTCGATTTGAACTCTATTTGACATTCCTTCCTTAGTGATGGATAGGAAGTACAAAGCAAGTGGATAGGCATTATCAAACCAAACCGATTGAATAATCGGTATGAACACACTGGACAACCAATTTTTTTTAGAAAAAAATAATTGGATAAACATTACGATTCATTTGGATAATCAAAGAAAATAATTGGATAAAAAGTACAACTGGTTGGATAGTCAATACAAAAAATTGGACAATCATTTTCATTAAAAAAAAAAGAAAATAAAAGTCGGATAACTATCACAAAGAAGTTGGATATTCAGTATGAACACATTGGACAGATATTTTTTCGAAAGAAAAAAAAAAGAAATTCTGTTTTGATAATCAGTGAAAATGATTGGATAACTAATACAAAATGGTTGGATAGTCAATAAAAAAAATGGACTCACAAATACTTATTTCGTTTCTGCTAAGAGTATTTTAATTATTTTAATTTTCAAATTTAATATTCAATATGATCTTATCGGATAGATCTCGTCGAGTATTATCAATTTCATGCATAATCTATTTTTTAATTATTCACGGATCAAGAGATATAAAGAACATCACAATATGAATGTAAAATAAGTTGGTTATTAATTTCTTAAACTGGATATCCGTCCAAATAACTTTCAAATTTCCTTCATTTCTACCCATCAAAATTTAGTCATTTTTAATTTCGGAAAAAAATATTCGATATGGATCTTTTTGGATAGATCTCGATGAGTATTATAATTCATATATAATTCGTTTTCTAATCTTTCACGGATTAAGAGATATGCTCATTTGAAAATTAGAGATATTTTATGAGAAAAGAAAAAAAAAGTTACAGAAACTAAACTTGAAAAACATAAAAAGTTTGAGAAAAAATACAATAAAGATCATATGTGCAAAAAATATAAGAGGGACCGACCATTGTGGTTCCGGGTGCACCTAAGAATTTGCATGCAAAGTTAATGTAGAATTGATGAAATTAATGGGAAGGGACCGAAGGGTAGAGAAAAACCTCTCTCTTTTGGTTTTGGTTTGAGCACGAGATTAATTAAAAGCATCCAAAAAGTTGGACTCGAATTTGTATTATGGCACCTAATTAACCCTTTCTTCTTAGTACTAGTGATGTCTGGTTGCGCGACCCTAGCCCAATATATCTGTAAATTTTAGAAATGTTTGTATCTAGAAAAAAGCTATATTTTATTTGGACCAATATATTTTAGAAATGTTTGAAGAATTTAGAAATATTTTATAAGTGTGATCATATAAATATTTGTATTTAGCATAAAAAGAAATTGTATTTGGTCTAGTACGTTTTAGAAATGTTTGAAGATTTTAAAAATGTTTTATAAGTGTATCTTTTTAAATATAAATAAACTTGATCAAATATATGTCTTGAAGTAAATGCAAGACAAAATATAAAAGCATCCTCATAAGTTTAAATATTAGTAAGATAATTTATCGATGTTCTCCATTGGTTGTGCCAAATCAATACTTCGTTTTGGAGATTTATAATAGCTTTGTAGTAAGCTTCCTCCAAAGGGTATACGCTTAATTGTTAAAACTATTTCTTCCAAAAGTTTATAGGTAGTAAAATATCAAAAATATGATTTTGAAACTGGTTAATTGTTGAAACTGATTGATCACAAATATGAAAATGAAAATAATGTAAATTTACATAGGTTTCAAGTTATAGCAAAAAAGAACTCACCTCACCATGGCAAATTAAAAAAAAAAAGAAAGTAAAAGATAGCCCATGAAAAATTGAGAAATTTATTTTTTCTTGTAGGTAAAAATGATGTATAAAAACACAAATAAACGTAGAAAAATCATTCCTTCCCTCACCATCTCAAATTCATAAAAGCTTCCCTATAAATTAGTTAGAAGAAGTGACATGAACTATTTATATGATGAGGAACTAAAAAAAGTCTAAAAACCAAATCCAAAAAAGTATATTCTTGAAAGACCGAATACCAAAAAAAAGCGCTTCATTTGTAAATAAAATAAAATAATAATAATAATAATTGGTCAACTGGGAATATGAAACAAAATCAAAAGTAATTAAACAAATAAAAAACACACTTCATAACTGACCATATACGAAAAAAAACATGAGACTCCATAATTAAAAAAAGAAAACCCGTCTAATTGAATGAAACATAAAAAAGAAATTTAAAAAACCACACTTTGTAACAAAAATCCAATTAATCAATTCAATCCAAACAGAACTAAAATTATACAAAATTCTAGGCTAATTAACCATATAAGAAATCACATTATATTACCTGACAACGGCTACGATAGCTGTAATGGATGGACGCATAAAAATAATAGTCATAACACTATTCTTGAACGGGAAAAACAAAAAATAATAAAAGCCAAACAAATGATCTGCGGAAATAAAATCATTTAAATTTTAATACCTGTAATGGCACCACCATAATGGCCGAAGCAAGATCAATGAGAATTTTTTTTCCTTTGTTTTATATAGTGAGGTAAAGAGAATATTTTTTGAACTCGAAATTTTATCAGATTAGGATGTAGTTGATCATCACTAATGAAAAAATTTAACATGGTAATAGGAAAGGAGTATATTTCACCACATATTCTCAATTGATGATTGATGAGAAATTTGTTTTTTTTTTTTATTGTGAAGAAAGGATTGATTAGGGAGTCGATTGTCGTGGAAATGTGGATGATGATTTGGGTTTTTTTATGAACACGTAGTTTTTTTTTTTTTTTGCGAAAATAGGAGATGAAGGTGGATTTGGACTGCATTTGCCTTTTAAGTCTAGGAGATGTGTAAATAAAAATTTATTTTAAAAATATGATGTGGAAATGCCACATGGCAAATGGTGGTGCTTTCTCTAAAGTGTGATTTTTGTTTCTAATATAGTAAGATATGGATACAATTTTCCCGGATGTTTGATATCTTATAAGAAAATATTAAATTCCTTTCAGTCATTCTTTTGCAACTTAAATTCCTCCTCTAAAAAATAAAAAGATACATGTGTATTATGTAAGCCTATTTAAACTGTGGACTTTGATACGAGTTCACATTAGCATTGAGGAAATTTTGTAGCCATTTTATAATTTTTCGAGTGCCATAACGAACTTTTCAATTTTGAAAGCGTATTCGTCAGTGATTATCTCTTGCGACAAAATGTCTATGAAGATATTCATCGATTTAAATCATTGAGTCTTAAATCATAGTTCGATCATATATATTTAATTAGAATATAACACTCTCATCGTATATTTGAAAAAAAAAACAAGAAATGCATTCGCTGGTGCATTAACTTCTCCACATGCATGCTACAATCACCGTCACATCCATCCATTATTAATGCCGTGATTCTTT